GCTGGACTGGAACTCCTGACCTCAAGTGATCTACCCACCTCAGCCTCCCAAAGTGCTGGGATTGCAGGCATGAGCCGCTGCGCCCAGCCATTCTAGGCACTCCTCTAAATAAAGCAAATGTCTGCAGCATTTGAACATTTCAGCTCAATTTCAGCAATGAGCCTGCTGAAGTGGGTTCTCTGCTTTCTGTGGCAACACTGCTCTCAAGTCTGACATGCCAGCGCCTTGATAGGTCATAAGTTATGTTTCACATTTACTTATCTTGACATGTGGGCCCCGCACTGACTGTAGGGACTGGTAAGGTGAGAAACAGCCCAGGGTTGTGCCTCCAAGACTGAGTCAAAAAGTTCAGGGGATTTTTCATTTCCCGTGTATGCACATCCTTCCAAATTATGGCAATTGTTGCCAGCAATTAGGTAATGAATCAGAAAAGCATTTTCTATTTACTTTATCAGGAAAAAACCGTTTTCCCTGATGAAACAGAATAGTTGTATCAGTGGCTGCAAACACATGCTGAAGCAAATCAGCTCAGCTGATTTTGATGGGTTTGATCAGATGGGATGCAGCTGTTTCCTTTCCTATTTGTCTGCCCTGAGGCTGAAGTTCTGTGTTTGGAAGGGTCTAGGGAAAGGGAGAGGCGGGGCCCCCACAGGAGGGAGGAAAGGCCCAGTGTGGGGGTCCACTCAGCGGCCTCAGCCCAGACCTTACTCCTCACCCCACCCCCACCCCCAGGTTTGCCCATGGCGGTCCCTGGCAGTCATGATGGACGAAGCCTTTTCTAAAATTGCCTACCTGGCTGGACAGGGGCTGCTCACACAAAGCCTCAACATCAGGTTCAAAAAGTAATAAGGGCCCTTGGGGCACTGGCCAAAGTCACAGCCCTTTTCATCCCTGGGAGTGGCCGTCCTCGGCAGCTGGGGTATGGGAGCCCTGCCTGCCACTCTCCTTCCCAGCCCACTCCCAAGCAGCTCCTCTAGTCCCTCGCCAGGACGCAGCCTCTGCTGTCCAACATTTGGAAGCTGACAAAAAGGCCCTGAGCCTAGGGCCACTTATGAGACCTCGAGGCAGGGAGGAATGAAGAGAGGGAAGAAGACACAGAGGGTGAAGGGGTGGGGGGCCGGGTTCACGTAAGAGATGGGCTAAGCTGCCTCCTCTCCTAGCTTGATCCCCGTGGGCTCTCTGGTTGTAATGGACATAGAAGTGGAAAAGATAGAAGACCAGAAGCTTTACATGTCCTGCATCGCCCAGAGCAGAGACCAGAAGACAGTCTATGCCAAGTCCTCAGGTAAAGAAGCCCCCAGCCCCACCCCAGGCCCCGTCCTGCAACCACCCACCCCCAGAACAAACAGGAAGAAGGAAAGATGCCAAGGATTCGCCCCAAGCTGCAGTCCATCTTCTTTAGGGTGGGTAGGGCACCTGCTGGAGACACAGACGAAGTGAGGGAGAGCAGAACTAGGGTTTTTTCTGTGTGAGTTATACAACCCGTCCTGAAAGGACAGCACCCAGGTACTGGGTAATTTGATGCCACGTGCTCAGAGTGTCCATCCGTCTCCTACCATCTCAGTGCAGCTCTTGCAGCTCAGCTCACCCTTCTCTTGCAGGTGTCTTCCTTCAGCTGCAGCAGGAAGAAGGGTCGTCGTCCCAGAAACAGTCACTGTGCCTGCAGGAAAATCTCTCACTGCTTCTCCTGCCTGCCTGGGACACACCACAGAGCAGGGAGGGGTCCTCAAGAAGCAGTTGGTGAGGCAAGGGAAAGGGCTCTTTTTTTTTCTCTGAGTTAATAAAGTCCCACAGCCCCATTCTCGGCCCAGGGCCTTTCTATGGTTGGAAATCAAACTCTTTCCAGGGCATCCCACATACCCACCTTCCCATTCAGCACCAACTTAAAAGACTTACTGAGTACCTGCCAGGTGCCAGGCACTGAGTGAGGCACCAGGCACCCAGCAGTGACGGACAGGACCCCTGACCTCAAGATGTGCCATCTGGGAGCCAGGGGCCAAATGCAGAGTGCTCCATCACACTTCTCCCACGCCCACCCTGGCTTCCATCATGAGTGCAGTGTCATCTCAAAAGGGAGGAGAGGGCAATTTTACTCCACGAAAGCAATCAGAAAACGCCTTCTAGAAGAAGCTCTTCCTGAACCGTCTCAAAAGTTAAGTGGTGTTCACTAGGCAGGCAGGGGAGGAGAGGATATCTCAGGCAGAGGGAAAATAAGACAAAGGTGCAGAGGTGAAAGTGCACAGGGACTTTGGAGAAGAGCAAGGTGTTGAGGAGGGCAGGCGTTTATGGAAAGAGAAGGTGGGCAGGGCAGGAGCAAGCCACGGGAAGGCTTCATAATCCCTGCTGGAGAGCTGGAACTTTGTCTTGCAGGCAACAGGGAGCCTCTAAAGGCCTTGCGCTGGGGAGTGACAGAACTTTGTTATTTAGAAAGATGACTCAGTGGCAGTAAGGCATCAGCAAGACTGAAGGCAGGAGCACTGGTCAGGAGAGCCCTGCAGGCTTTACACTAGAGACAGTAAGGGCTTGCAGGGGCCGGGGCCTCCGTGCTGAGAGGTATGGGAAAATGTTACAAATACAGCAAGTGCAGGATTTTGCCACCAGTTATACAGTGTGGATCTGTGAATGAGAGCTGTCTAGGATGACTCCAAGTTTCTGGCTTGACAGGTTTCCAGGCGATTATCACTGGAAATACAGAAAGAGGTGGGGGTAAAGAATGAGCTCCATTTTACATGCATCGAGCTTGAAGTGCCCATGGAAGTTGTACCATGTGGCAGGTGCCAGCAGGAATGTGGATATGGTGCTATGGGGCTCAGGAGAGACGAGTTACTGATCGACATTGTGAGTCAATATGAAATGTGACCTGAAGCCCCTGGGAATGCATTAGGCAGAAAGTGAGAAGGAGGCAAGGGGAATGACAGAGGTGAGGAGGGACGGGAAATGGGAGGGAGGGAAGAAGAAAAGGGGTCAAATATAGAACCCGAACCTTAGGTCACACTGAGACTTCAAGTTGGGATAGAAGACCAAGGATCCACTACGGAGGCTGAGAACAGGACAGGCACGACCATCCTTCAGAGGAAGAGGCCAGCAGTAGCAAATGCTGACGAGAAAGCAAGGAAGATGAGAATTAAAAAGAAGCCTTTGAGCCAGGTGCAGTGACTCACGTCTGTAATCCCAACACTTTGGGAGGCTGAGGCGGGAGGATTGCTTGAGGCCAAGAGTTTGAGACCAGCCTGGGCAATAAAGTGAGGCCTTCATCTCTACAAAAAGCAAAATAGTAGGAAAATAAAATAAATCGGCACATCATAAAATTAAAAAGAAGCCTTTGGATTTGGTCATGAAGAAAATGTGGTTTCCTTTGCCAGAGCAATTTTAGGAGGTGGAAGAAAAATCCAGATTACGGTGAATGAAAATATGAACAGAGAATGGGGAAATGAATGTAGATGCTTCTTTCTAGGAATGTTGTTGTTATTCAAGGAAAGATATTTGAGTGTATTATAAATTGCTAGTGGAGAGAGGCTGAAACCTTTAGGAGAAAGAGAATCAGGGCCGCCATCCAACAGAGCAGCTCTCTTAGAGCTGTCTTGGAAGCCATGGGAGAGCATCAGCATGACTGAGACCAAAGGAAGGAGGAAAAGTATAGATCAGGACAGGAAGTTGAGGAAGTAGAGATCGGGACAGGAAGTTGAGGGGATTCGACCCAGAGTGCTTCAACTTTCTCAGTGACATGGAAGGCAAGGCCATCAGTGGGGAAAGAGCGGTCTGGAGGAAGGGGGATGGTTCGGAAAAGCCGCTGCAGGGATCAGGAAAACAGGTACCAGGTACACGTGTGGCCAAGACATGCTTGAGTGCCCTGCTGGTAGAACACAGGTGTCTGGAGTGGCACCAACCTTAGGAGAGAGGAAGGTGGGAGCCAGCTGGCAAAACCCAAGGGCAATGGTGGGTGAGTCGGGTGAGAACAGTGGAGGGGGAGGAAAGAGAGCAACACAGCTGGTACACATTTCTAAGGACAAAAGATTTGCTGTGAGGAAGAACAACAATGGAGGAGGCAAAGGCTGCCCAGGAGAAGTCTGCAGCTCCTCTAAACCTGGGGAGGCGAAGGATGGGACCAGCTTCCACAGAGAGGGCTACACGAAAGAGGTGACCTGTCCTGAGACTGCCGGAATTCCACTGAGGCTAGTAGGTGGAGGGGATGTTCAGGCGGAGCTTAAGATCAGGGAAGGTTTACCAAAGAATGAGAGCTTCCAGGGCCATATCGTAAAGGACTTTGTTATTAGGTATGGTAAAACCAAATGTTAAAACAGGTAAGGCTTTAAATCTCCATAGCTGAACCCATATCTTCAAATAGAATGTATTTCTCACTCACATAAAGTTCAGCCAGTGGTGTCTAGGAGTCATTCAGGACCCTGGCTGACAAAAGCTTTGTTATCTCCAATACTGGACTTCCAAAGTCACCCTCGGTGTTGGCATACAGTTGCCAGATGAAAGAATCCACAAGGGAGATGTTCTGGGTCAGGCCTCCAGGTGGTTCCATTGGCCAGAACTCAGTCACGAGGCCCCCCCCCAAACTGCAAAGAAGGCTGGTTAGAAAATACGGTCTAACTATATGTTTTTTGTCTTTTTTTTTTT